ATCCCAAATTCAAAACCGCCACCTCACTGTCCAGCAGTGTGTCAGCCAACCGTCTTTGGCACTGCTGGACAGTGAGGTGGCGTTTTTGAATTTGGGGCTAGACTGTAAACGACTTAATTTTCGCAAAGACCTAATTTTCACGAATTTCGCGAATCGACTTCAATTCGCGAAAAAATAGGTCCCGCGAGCAATTCCGGTGAAATGTAAACGCATTGGAATCTATATTGAGAGGCCACCGAGTCGCGAAGATTAGAACCCGCGAATTATTCCAAAATTTTAGCTTCAACCTAAATCGTGAAATATTGAGCCCGCAAAAAATAAGTCGTTTACAGTAGATATATATATGGGTGTTTTCATCTCAAATCGGGCAGGCTAAAAGGGTCTAATTTTTAATTTCCACGAAAAAAAATATATGTTTTGGGGGAATTTCTCAAATGAAGGAGGGCGCAAACCGCATGTTCTCCCGATTTTTCGTTTTCGAGTTACAAGCCGTAGAACCCGCAGTGGCAGAAACTAGTGTTGTTGCCTGCCGTCGCAGGTCGCGTGTTTGACACCCTCTGCCTATGCCTCTGCTGACGCTATTATTTTTTCTACACCCTTTTAACTTTCCCCCCTCATTTAATAGGTATTATAACGATACCTTGATGTATTCAAATATTTTTAGGAATTTGTTTTCTAAAACACATGTCAAACTCGTCATTCCAGTCGCTTTTCGGTCAAATTTGACAGGTCATTACTTTGTCTGTACTTAAGGTTAATTTTCTTTATTTGGCTCCACAAAAAGCCCAAAGCAAGCCCATTATAGATATAATAATATCATTATTATCTGCCGAGTAGCCGCTCCGCTACCTTCACGTAAACGTTATGAAAAATAACAAATGTTCACACATTTCACGCGATTCCGGCTCAAACAGAGGACATACAACCAAAATATTATATTTCTAGACTATTTTTTTTTGTAGTCGACTAATATGTCTAAAATAATTTAAAAAATAAAAATTTACAAAAATGGGGTTTTTGAGAAAATCGACCTCAAACTTTCAACATTTCTTATTTATTACAACGTTTACGTGAAGGTAGCGGTGTGGCTAGTCGACATATCATAATGATATTATTATATCTATAATGGGCTTTCTTTGGGCTTTCTGTAGAGCCAAAGAAAGAAAATTTACCTTAAGTACAGACATAGTAATGACCTGTCAAATTTGACCGAAAAGCGACCGGAGTGACGAGTTTGACGTGTTTTAGAAAACAATCGAATTCCTAAAAATATTTGAATACATCATGGTATTTTTATAATACCTATTAAATGAGGGGAAAAATTTAAAAGGGTGTAGAGAAAACAATAGCGTCAGCAGAGGGTGTCAAACACGCGTCCTGCGACGGCGGGCAAAAACACTGGTTTCTACCACTGCGGCTTCTACGGCTCGTAACTCGAGAACAAAAAATCGGGATAACATGCGCTTTACGCCCTCCTTCATTTGAGAAAAAACCCCAAAACATATATTTTTTTCGTGAAAATTAAAAATTAGACCCTTTTAGCCTGCCGGATTTGAGATGAAACCCCCCCATATATATATATACATATATATACTCCCGACACTGCGATGTCACGAGTACAGTGTAACTTGCTCGCTCACCATTTTGGCTAGCACGACCTAGATTGCCGTTACTTTTAACCTCAGAGTGAGTTTAGCGGCGGTGTAAGCATTCGTCGATCCGCAGTCGGCCGCGCAATGCCACGAAGAGCGCCGAGTAAGTTATGCTCCAGGCTGTCAAATGCAGCTCTGCGGACGCAGTAAGGAGGTCACTGCTATTCCTATAGTGAAAGGTATACCGATGGTCTCGTGCGTAATATTGAAGGTCAATTCGAGTCCGCGTCATAACTCGTTTGAGTGGCGTTCTGAAGAGATCCTCGTGGAGGAGGAGGTTCGTGCAAGCACGTCTTTGGCTCGCGGCCAAGTTGGCGACCTTAACGGCAGGTTTCCTCATTTCGAAAGGCCGGCTCGCACATTTGCGTTTCAGTGCACTTGAACATGTTGCATTCCCCTCTAACAGCTTAACACGCACACCGACACCATCTATCGGGTTGACCCGGAACACTTCCACCGTGCGTCTCTAGGCCGAAGATTTTACACTATTGTCAATATCGAGATCGTTGCGCTATCTACGAGGAATAGTCGCTTATAACGTAGCAATCGTGAAAATATTTACATGCAGGTCGGGGAGACTGACGTGTCATGTGGGAAGTCGACACAAGAGTTCGAAGTGCCTGCTGACGTGTCTCGTTTGTGGAGTTCTCCCCTTCGGAGCGTATTTCAGGGACTGGTTTGGACGTACGTTTGTAAAGTCTCCTGTTCTGCATTCTAAAAAAAGGAAAAAGAAAGAAAAGAAAGGGTGTATTTTTACACCCTTTGTCCCATATAAAGCACCCCAAAATTTCAGTTGGACGTAGAGCGCACTGATGTCAACCTGCTGTTACTAACTTTCAGGAGAGGCCTGATAGCCTTGTGGTCAATTTATTAAAAATAGCTAATATACGTGCTACTGACGACAATTAACATACTCGGTGCTTTCTTGGCCGTACTGCAAAACCTCAGTGTCTCCTTTCTGTGGTCTTTGATACATACTTTAGCTATTTAATAAGTTATATCGCAACGTCATCAAGCCCCTCGTAAAATGTGGGGCCGTCTGTTCGACAATAGTGCGATGTACGTGTAACTGAAGTTTTGGGGTGTATTATATGGGACAAATTGGTGTAACGTGACACCCTTTTTTTACGATGTGGAAAGTGTTTTTTTTTTATTTTTTTTTTTACGTTTTTGGCGCGATGTTGGGGGAGTGTAGTGAATTTTTGTCTAAAAGTTGGTTTACGCAAGATTTGATGAAAGTCCAGATTTTGTGGGGATTTTCTGAGCCATGCAGGCAGATTGGGTTTGAGATACATACAACCATCAGCCAGCTCCGTTTTTTTTGTTTTTTTCTCGTTAAAGGGCAGCTCCGCCGTCAATTCGAGCGTTTTTATCAAAACATATTTTCGGAAAGGGTACTAAAAATTTAGCCTATAGCAGCGGTTAAATCATGAAAAGACTGTTTACATAATTTATAATCGTTAAAATACGCTGAAAGCGATATCGAAACTAACTTGCCACTCGACTGGTCCGCCATTTTGACGTGACGTCACATATGGTATAAACACTCGCAAGTGTGCAGTTTGAGCCTGGCCAGCCTGGCAGCAGGTCACTGTTTTGTGTTCGTGCCGCGGATAAAAATGGACTCATCAGGCTCGTCTGAATCGAGCAACGATGAGGATATGCTGCTAGATGTTGAGGACGATGACGATAACCCGTTCTGATACGATCCGCCGGCATCGCCTCCGAGAAAACCGCTAGCGGCGGCTGCATTCGTGATCCGCCGCCATGTGGACCCAGATGCCGCTTCCGAAGCGGAATGGAAAGGCAGCTTTTGTTCCTAGCACGCCAAGAAAAACTGATCGACGTTATGCCTTTTAATTGGAGGCACTTTTTGTTATATCTTGGGGTCTGACAATAGACGGTTTTAGTAGACCGTGTTTTCAAACGACGCTTCCACACACAACACCAATTTCCTCCAGTCGCCATTACGCGGTCTTACATAACTGTATAAACCGATAACATAAGCAAAAAGCAGACAGTCGCTAGCACAACTAGCTACAGAGCAAGCACCCTGACCAACATGTGACGTCACGGCAACGTCAGCGCCATCATGGCAGCCTCCGTGTGCCGCTCTTGCTCAGTGTTGCCAGTAGGGCTGCAGCAAGTGATTTGGGTGTGTACATGTAAATTTCAAAATTCATTTTCTTCTAAAAAAAATTAATATTTTTCCGAGATATTTTGTACACATGCTCAGGAAGGGCATCCAAATACATGGTGAAACTTTTATAGAAATCGGTGACCATCAAAACTACGGCGGAGATGCCCTTTAAACTAACATGAATCCATTTGGCAGAAACCTTGTCACAAAAAAAAAAAAAAAAATCCAGGTTAGTCTAGTAGTTTTGGGTCGATCTTGAAGGTTCTGAAACGGGTTCTGTAACACTCTTGTGTCTACTTCTCTCTAGCACATGGTATTCTCTGTTTATGTGTGCGCGCCGGACAGTTCAAGAGGGCAGAGGCGATAATTCCTTTTTTATCTAATCAAAAAATAGCAACCTAAAGTTTTTAACACCTTTCTTTCCAACATCGAATCGCCGCTATTCTCTTCAGCGGTACATCTCAGTGTCCTTCTGCACACGTCGCAAACCGGAAGACAGGGATAGCATGCAGCTTCTGCAACTATTTTAAGAATCAATCCTTCAAATATAATATACAATTTTTTTTTTGTATTTTTAGTTGCAAAATTAAACGCGTCACCGAACGCTCATCTCCGCCCAAATGCTGCGCTAAAGGTCCGGCCCAGATGCCAAAAGTTTGGAACGAATTGGGTTATCTTCAAGATATTTATGTGATTTTCGGAGGGTGGCTGAGGACCAGTCAAGCTGCTTGGACAGCTTTTTTCCTCAGCGAAAATGGTGGCCGCGACGGGGTTCACCTCACGAATACCTGAGGCTAAATGGCGCGAATTACGGTGAACGCGCTCGGTTTTCCCATTTAAAATTACAGGAAATCGCTTAATTATTCTACGTGTGAACAAGAGAACGCCGATAGCTCTGAAACATTTGTGTTCGATTCGATCGGGGATGCGTATAGTTTGACCGCGTTAAAAATAAACGCTATACTTTATTTTATTTATATTTTGAAGGACATTACCTTATATACCACAGAAACTTCGGCGCTCATTCAGGACGACCGATGAATGTATCCACTATTCTTGAACGTCATTAGGAATGATCAAGTGTGACTTCTTGTCTCGTGTAACGTTTTTGGTAATCGATTTTGTTTGATTACGATAATCATATATACTTACTTGGACGAATTATCTATGGGCTTCCTGACTCGGTTACACCCTTCTGCGAACAAACATAGACTTTATTCGGCGGATGAAGATTCGTCGATATACCACCACCACCACCATTTCCGCAATCGCCGGTCGAATTTGTTAGCTTCTTGTCGAATTCTGGCTGCCCGTCCTGGCGTAACCGGTCGGATTCTTCTTCTGCCATCTCCAGACGTCCTCGCCTGGAAATGACAGCAGAGACGGGCCTGTCAAACAAACGAAAATATACACAAAAAAAAATAAAAATAAGATTGACAAACGTTCCTTCCATCAGCGAGATCGCTGCATTGCGCCCTGCAGTGTTACTCGCACACAATGTACCAACTCGTGTTTGTGACGTCAGGAACACGAGTTTCTCGACATATGCGCAGTGCCAGGATCTTCTTTATTGTCTATAAACAAACTGATATATGATTGATGCATAAAACTACTACCTTTTTCGTTTTACATGTAGATGTTTCTTGCCGGCGACATGTGACCACATTATATACTGTAAACGACTTAATTTTCGCGAAGACCTAATTTTCGCGAATCGACTACAATTCGCGAAAAATAGGTCCCGCGAACAATTCCGGTAAGATGTAAACACATTGGAATCAATATTGAGATGCCACCGCGTCGCGAAGATTAGAACCTGCGAATTATTCCAAAATTTTAGCTTTAACTTAAATCGCGAAATATCGAGCCCGCAAAAAATAAGTCGTTTACAGTATTCACCGAGTGACGGAATGTGACATCAAAAACGCACACATGAAACGCTTTTTTCTCCTACGCCAATTAAAATCGACTGCTGGACTGTTGGCTGAACGTATAGTTGGTTAAAGGGACGCTGACAACCTCCAAAGTTTTTTGTTTTATTCCTTGTCAGGGGATCCATTATGGTGTCAGAAGATTACCCAATCAATATTTTACTAAAGCGTCACGTATATTTCTTTAATGAAGTCGAAAAACGCAACTGCTCGGTGCCGAAACCGAAACTGGACTGGGGAGGAAGAAGAAATGTAGAGGAGGAGAGAGGGTGCGGAAGTCACGTGGCTGTGCAACTTTATTTTCTTTAATCAACGTACTTGCGGCTTTTTGGAAACCACAGAAAAAGGGTATTGTATCTCTTTTCTATTTTTAATATTGAGTGTATGCTTTCGATGATCCAAGACTTTGATTATATTTGGTGGTTGTGTCTAAACCATAGAAAACGGCGCGTGACCACGGAGAAGAGAGTGAGCGCGACTCAAACCGGCCAGTTCTCGATCTGCGGTTTTCGAGCGGAAAAAAAAAAAAATCGAGCTGCAAATTGACTTTAGGGTAGTTGGGCTCTCATATGTCACGCACAAATAAAAACCTTGGCGAGATTAAATGCCCTGTCAGGGTCCCTTTAGCGCTTGTCTTCTCCTGTCCCTGTCATGTTTCTGTCCTCTCGCGCTATTTTGTATATGCTCTCCCTCGAAATAACAGCCGCCGCGCATGCGCCCTGGGCTCAGTGACTCAGCATTGTTTACCCATGGGTGACAAGCGCTGAAAATACGTATATTTGTGCGTCACGCACACATGTGGAAGAGCGACTTCTCTGCCTTCCAGCCGAGTTCGTCCCGAGCCAGCTTGGAGCTGGCCACCATCTTGGCCACGTCCCCGGGCCGTCGTTCCAGGACGTCGTACGGTACGCGGACCCCGGACGCTTCCTGAAAGGCGGCGATGACCTCGAGCACGGAGGCGCCGCCGGTGCCGCCGTTCATGTTGTACGTCTGCGCAGTGTAGATGGAAAGAAAGTCTACGGTAGCCTTGACAACGCAGCACAATAAAGCTAATCCAAGAATCGCCCTTCTGCGTGGTATAGACCCGTTGCTCTGGGGCAGGGGGCGCGAGCGCATCCGCAAGACGCGACCATGTTATGATGGCTGAACCATCCAGGTGGCTGTGTAACGTTCGATTTTGCACGTGCCACGTTCGAATGCAAGCATCTGACGATGCGCGATAACAAAACCTCTAAACAAATAAAAATTAAAAAAAGAATTATGCAGCTCGCGGCCGCAGCGTCCCATGAAACATTCCTTTCATCTTTGCCTTCTTTCATAGCTTCCGCGGGCATGTATGTTTTACTTTACGTGATAGCGAAGCCGAAGCTACTCGCAAAAGCACGTCCTCCTGAAAGATGCTCGCACTGCACGAGCGCGCGTGCTTGACAGGGACGCTGGAAGCTCGCAGCTCGCTCTTGTAGCCTCTGCTACGCTGGCACTTACTTAAAATGGAACGGAGTAGAAAAAAACTCTAGTGGGGAAGCGTACTGACGCATGTTCGAAACCCGAGCCAAATATTCTATTTTGCTCGCCTGGAGCGCTGCTCAAAACTTGAGAGCTACGGGCCTATCATCTTTGTCTACTGTTGTAGAACGCACGCGCATGCATTCACCGGCAAATGACCCGGCGGCCATAGCTGTGTGCGCGACTGCTGAGCGCGTGCTGTTCTTTTGTAACGTGCATTCTTTTGTAACGTGCATTCCGCACCCTCAAGATTGCCGGTCTTAGCAGCCTATTAATGTGGGCTCGTTCTGAGCATGCGCTCCACCCACAAATATGGCGCCCAGTGAATACTCCTTATATACGCTGTAGAGGCGTACATCTGTCGTGCAACTGGGACAGAGGAACGCTTGAAAAGCGCAACTTGTCTGAGCCCTTCCTGACGCGCGTGGCTGAGACAGATTCATGTGGCCACCGAGCTATCCTCACCTTGATTCCCGTCAGGCTCCCGGTCATAATCTTGTTCACAGCGACCACGTGACCCTTGGCGAGATCCATGACGTGCACGTAGTCTCGAACGCCTGCACGCGTATAGCACAAGCAAGGAGGGTCCTCATGTTTGGTCAAGACACCGCGGCTCAAGCCAAGTCCTAGCGTTTTCTTTTTTTTTTTCTTTGCAGCGGAATTGTTAAAGGACACATGCAAAGGAAAAAACAATTTTTTTTAGACAGCTTAGATGGAAAAAGGATGTCATAAAATGATTTTACAACGAAGAAAAAAAATTTTTAGAGCTATATTTACGGCGCTATACGAATTTGTAGTTGGCGCTCGCGGGAGCCGCCGCTGGTCACGTGGTAGGCCCGCGCGCCGCCGCGCTGCGTCGCCGCCGCACGCTGAGCGTTGTGCGAACGCCGCTTCAACGCGTTTCTCCACGGCGCCGTCGCCGCCGCCGCACAAGTTCGTCTGCTTCGGGGCGCCGCCGCCGTCGTCTGACCGGCGTACAGGTCTATCGCGTCTGCTTGCGCTTTTTCAGGAGTTTCCTTTGGGCTCTAAAAGTTACTTATTCGTCTTGGTTTTTTGTTATACTTCAAACAAAGATGATTAAGTTACTTTTAGAGGCCATAGGAAGCTTCCGAAAGAGCGCAAGCACCACGTGATAAATAAAGACCAGTCACGTGATAAATACAGACCACTTTTCCGCGGTGCCCGCGGGCGCCAACTACAAATTCGTTTCGCGCCGTAAATATAGCTCTAAAAAAATTTTTTCTTCGTTGTAAAATCGTTTTATGCCGTCCTTTTTCCATCTAAGCCGTTTAAAAAAAATGTTTTTTTCCTTTGCATGTGTCCTTTAAGGGCTAGCTTCCCCAGGATCGTGTCGACCAGCAAAGAAATGACGACACTGAACTCTGGACAGCTACCGCCATCTATGAGCGAAGGCGGCAACCATACAACTGGTTTCCACCGTCGCTCATAGATGGCGGCAACCTTTCTTCGAAGGAAGAAGAGCGGGAGCGGAACGAGCGGCGATGTGCGCAGCAGCGCGCATGGTTCCGCAACCGCCGCGAGGCCGCTATCGCCTCAAGTTCTACTGCGTCGAGCGTTTCAGATTCCCTAGTGAAAGAAGAGCAGATCGCTCGCCCGGAAAGCCACCGTCGAGAACAGAAGCTACAGCTCCGCTGCTCTTCCTTCTTCACCAGAGTGGAAAGGCTGCAAGTTTTGTTTTTAAAGCATGAACCGTAGGGTGCGTTGGACCATAGAGGGGATCGCACAAACACCAACCCTTCCTACCGCAACCTCCACCAGAAAGCAAACCAAGAATTTAAAAGTAAAAATGTAAGTAGTCAAAAGCCCGACCACGGTGAACATTTCTTGTCGAATAAATGTGCGCGGAAGCTGACTATTTAAATTACGATGCAATTTAAATACTATTTATGCGTTAATTTCATAACCTAAGTTTTCGTTCAAACGGATGATGAAATTTTTTACCGATCTGATTGGGCGAGAAACCTTTTACAATTTTCTTCCAATGGTTTTTCAGCCATTTGGATGAGTAAAAATCCTCTGATCATTATGGACGAATGTGCCATGAGTGAATGTATGTCCCAATTTTTTTCTTTTTGTGAAACGCCTTCAGCTGGTCACGTGTTCGCGCTTGGTTGGCGTTTTTGTGTAACAAATCTATCGTTACCGACAATTTAAAAATCACATGGCATGGCTTATTACCTTCACGCTTCTTGATTGGTTGAACTCACTGACGTCATGCCCCTGCGGTGGCGCTGTTGTCAGTACTGCGCATGCGTACACGCTTCACTCCACCCGAACTTGGTTTCTGCGCACGCGCAGAGCCCACACCTGGTGTGGGCAAAGCGGGCGTGTTTGGAAACACCACTGATCTCTATGTCTATTTGCTGGATCGCGTTTGACCAGCTCCTCCTATGGACCGGAATGCGGTCACTGGCGGCCATCTTTAGGTAGAGTTATATCATCTCTAGCCATCATAGTAGTATGGCGGACAGCGCAATGGCGGCAGGCTGCCATAAAAATAGCCGTAGATCTAGTACACTGTACCGTGGGTGACATTTCGTGCTTGATTGAAGTTGTTCGACGAAGCAGATTCTTGAAACCCGGCGTGAACGGTAGCCTCATCTTTGAGGACCCGGCAAAAGTTCTACGAAAGCGCAGCACCGGGGGAAAGCAGCGCAGCTCGCATCAAAAGCAAACTCCGTACCGTCGTCTGCTTTCGATGCTTCTTTCGATGCGACTTTCGATACGTGCTGTGCTGCTTTTCTCTCGGTGCTGCGATTTCGTGAAACTTTTACCAGGTCCTCAAAAACCGGACTACTGTTCACGCCGGGTTTCAAAAACATGTTTCGTCAAATAATTTTAATCAAGCACGCAATATCACTCACGCTATTTTGACCGCAGCCTGCCAACCCACCTGCCAAAACGCTATCTGCCATGGATGGATGATAGCGGCTGCAGCAGCTTACATTGGCTGGAGGTGATATAACTCTACCTAAAGATGGCCGCCAGTGACCGCATTCGCGGAGCGGGCAGACGCGATCCAGCAATTGTCATAGAGATCAGTGGGAAACACCGTGTTGGACATGGAGAATAGAAGGGTAGGAGAGGGCATGACGTCGGCCGCGTAGCCTCAACAAGCCATGCTCCCTTGACGCCTCGCCACTTTCTCGTTTCCCTCCTTACTCTCCTCACCAAGGAGGTTGCTCCTCACTCACCATGCCAACGTGACCACATCACGTGACCGTAGCTAGCCTTCGTCTTACTATGGGCTACTAGAATACACCACAGTCTAGCCTTCAATCTGATAAAACCTACCGGACGGAGCGCGCGCAAGCCTGCAAGGAGTCCTTCTACAATCAACCATCCATCTCACACGTGACATGTCACGTGCACCAATCGCCAGAGAGATCTGCGGTCACGCTGGGCACAAAATCGTTTAAACTTTTTATGACTAGGCTTCACCAATATTGCAACGTGCCCCCTCCTAGTACTTCTAACCTCCTTGGTGTTGGGTGTATTCGCGACTCCAGCGACCTATAGGGGGAGCCACCACCAAACAAACATGGCGGCTGGGAACAAGTCGCTTCGGCTCGTCCGGGCCGCCTGAATGGGTGGCGCAATCAAATTAAGAGATTTTCTTTTGTTTAATACCCTATTTTATGGGTATTTGAACTGCGACGGTTAAGTGTAGCCGGTGCACATAAACTTGCGGAGCATAGTTTTGCTTTCCCGGTGCTTTTTGTTCTTTTCATGTCAAACTTTTATTTCGGAGATTTCGTTCAAAACCGAAAGTATGGATTCCGGAGAGTCGGTAATAGACTCTAATCAGTTTTGATCAGCTAAAGAAAGCGGCAATGACTACAGAATTGTTCTTCCGAGAGTAAGTTTCAGCTAACTCGCTGGAGTCGCGAATACGGACTGGCGACACAATCGTATTGACTGCGGAGCGATCATAATACGCGCTGCAGATTCGCCACGCGGTGACTATTGGCGAGGAGATCAAAATATAGAGGGCGCTTTATCGAGCTTGGTTTCCACAGAACTCGGTGTTTACCCCCTCTACCTCGTTGGTGTTTACCCAACTCAAGAACCGTGGACTGAATTTTTTACTTGATCTTCCTCGATCGATCAAGGTCAAGATTACTGGACGTTCCATCTCAGTTCCAACAGCTAATCAGTGTTGGGTCTGGGGCCCTAAACACGTCAAACACAAAGCTGGAGCAGAAAGTTCGCGGAGCGCGCCGATTGGACGCAAAAAAAGCGCAAAGTCATCGTCGTGATAGGCCAATCGGTGCGCTCCGTCAACTTTGGTCCCAACTTCGTGTTTGACGAGTTTAGAGGCCCTGTACTCTTGTTCAGTTGCTGCTTCACTGATTAAGCAAGAGCCTCAGCCGAGCGCTGACGCAGCTTTGGGCTAGATCAGCCGAGCGCTGCGTCAGAAGCACAAACAAATAATGGGTTTGACGATAAAAAATGACAGCGCAGGAGAGCCTGGTGCAGGTTTACCATTTTCTCAAACCACATGACACTACGTGGAGAACGAGAAGAATTCAAAGTGAAAGAGAAAATAAAACAAAAAAACTTTTAGCCTTTCCACTATGGTGAAAAAGAAAGAGCAGCGGAGCTGTAGCTTCTGTTCTCGGCGGTGGCCTTCAAGCGAGCGATCTGCTCTTCTTTCGAAATGGAATCTGAAGCGCTCGACGCAGTGGAACTTTAGGCGATAGCGGCAACCAGTTGTCTGGTTGCCGCCGTCGCTGATAGATGGCGGTAGCTGTCCAGAGTTCGATGTCATCATTTCTTTGTTGGTAGACACGATCCTGGGGAAACTGGCCCTTAACAGCTCCGCTGTAAAAACAGTGACAGACGGCAACGTCTCAAATTCTGAATAGCGTCAAAAGGTCGAACAAGTGTGGTAGCAATGTTGGAAATATAGTAAACAAAAATGAGTCGTTGCCTTTTGTTACCTGGTATTTTCTCTTACACTTTGGGTTCTTCTTGTTTTCCACCCACACTCAGGTGGTTTAAGGAAATAGCAAATGATTCGTGCTTTTGTTGTCCCCATGGGATTTAGTTCTCAACTTAGCCGCTACCAGCGCGACGGTTGAATCTCCCCATATGTCTCACAGGTTCCGTCCGGCGTGTCGTAGTCATTTCCGTGGACGTGCAGCCTTTCCCGCCTCCCGATGGCCACCTGGGCGACCAGGGGAACCAGGTTCTTGGGCGTGCCCTGCGAGTCCTCTCCGATCTCGCCCGAGCTGTGTGCTCCGGCCGGGTTGAAGTAACGCAGCAGCACGATGCTCCAGCCCTGCGTGTGTTTTAACAAAGAATAATTATAAGCCGACCTCTATGAGAAGACCGCCACGCGGAACCGTCACGGAGAAAATTATCGCTGAGGGCTGAAACATCGTGACTTCAGGGGACATCAAGATGTCACATGACATCATGAGGTTACGTACCTGTGACGTCATAATATCACGTGACACCTTGAGTGTGATGTCACAGTCATGTGACCTTATGAATTCGCGTGACAGCACAGGTTTTTTATTATTCTTACTGGGCTTTGACCCAGGTCATTCACAACGCATTTTGTGTACAAAAATAAATAATCGAATCAGTTTTTTTACTTGCTAAACTAACAGAGGGCATCTGACACGTCCCAGCGAAGGAAGGATTATTAATTGCAATAACCTGGGGACATCTGACGTGCCAGGCATGGCGTCTTGTCCGAAATAAGCATCCGTCAGAATGCGGGCACCTCGGACGCGATTCGAATCCGCGAACCGGGGATTCGTAGACCACCGCGATTGTCTCGGAGCCCCCGAGGCGGTTTAAATAAAAGAATAAGTCAGTACACTCCGTTTCACTTTTTCCTGACCGCGCTCATAGGTCATCGATCACCGTTGATCGATGGTTTCCAAGCGCATGAAGAAATTAAAGTTAGTGCAGATAATTATATCCAAGAACGTCGTGAATAGACGAAGATCTCTCGTTTCGGTTTCAACGGAGCTTCATCAAAAGCTGGTGGGCCGTCAAAAATAGTCATGGGAGCGGTGGTTGGACTTGACTAGGCTAACTGCTTGTATCAGTCTTTGTAACAAAGATGGCGTTGTATATAAACCGGATTGTGACATATCTTCTAGACCTCAAGAGTTCTGGGGACATTTTAAATTATGTTACGGGCGTCGCTAAACAGATGGTTGTCGGTAAACGTCACTATAATTTGAAATGCTGTCCTGAGCCGGCGTGCACGTTTTATGTTCGCAACAAGGCGGACAAAAATGCTAAATATAAAGGAACTGCAATCAAGGCTATGACAAAATCAAAGTATACAACACAAAGGAAGCATCCTGCTGGGGATATGAGGTGAACTATCTGTGTTTCACCAGTATAAGCATTCCCTCGTTGAAGCGCACACGTGTTACCGTGTAATGGAGACTCTCCATCGCACCAAAAATGGACAACGTCAGTGCAAAAATCGCCTTCTGCACGCTGCCATCTTTGCCTGCTGGGCTGTGGAACGCCTTCTGAGCATGCGCTGTTGACCTCCCGTGCGGTAAGTCGGACGCTGCGCATCCGTCCACAGCTCAGTGACTCAGCATTTTTCGCCCGGGTGATAAGCGATGCATAGGTCTGTACCAACCTCTGTTCGTTTTGAAAGAACAACTAATTGCCCACATTTTGATGCGTCATATTGCTTTATACGCAAATTAGTTAGGAAAATAAAAGCGTTTCCACGGATTCTTCAAATATTGCTCCTGTTCCGTGGCCAGGAAAGAGTTACGTACAATCGCAAACCACGCTATACACCCTTGCAAGGGAGATACTGCAGCCGGTCTATGTACTGCGTTGAAAACGGGACAATAAAATATTTATTATTTATTAAAAAAAACCTCGGACCGCGTGCCCAAGTGAGGCGGACCTACTCTCCAGGAAGGACGCCCGCTGCCTGTCGTACAATGTTGCCAAGCGTCTCTTGCGAAAGAGAATGATATATTTTAAGGAATACCAGAATAAAACAACAGAACGAACCTTCAGTCTCTAGAAACATTTTATCACGTGCTACGTGGCTATTTTCATCTCACTTAAAACCAAAAGGAAAATATAAACGCTTCCAAAGAATGCAAACGGGAGGGATTTCAGGAGCCGCATGGCCATTACGTCAATAATGGCTGCGCTCGAGGCAGTCCTGAACTTCCACGACATGCTGGAATAGAGGCTCCGATCGTTATAAAGTCAGCTCCAACCCTTAAACATGCCTCATCCTACAATATCTGAAGCCACGATTGTATGTGGATATGTCCACCTGCGTTTCGAAACAGTAAGTATGTCGCTAACGTGCGCTAAGGTCAGCCATCGGCGATACAAAAGGCGCCGCCATCTTGTCCTCGCCCACCTCAATGACATGCCGCTAGCCCACCTCAACATGGCGGAAACGTTACGGGGCGCCGGCATCGCTCACATTGGCAGCGCACGAGCCTTTCTTCATCCAGGTCGAAAAATGCCGATGGACGCATGTGTTGGCATTCAATATTTCGTGAAAGAGAGATACTGCGCACGCTCGGAACGTTTTCCACAGCAGGTAGACAAAGATGGCGGCGCGCAAGAGGTGATTTTTCGAAGAGGTCTATACGATTCGATATAGCCAATCATGCAGCGCCAAAAGTGCACCGTCATGGCGCTCGTTCTCTTTGTGTATTTTGTTATGACCGACTAAACCGATCACGCACAGTGAATGCCCGATATTGTGCTTTTTTTCTTCTCTTCTGTGATTGGCTGCGTCGTGGTCCCACCTTTTCGGTGCTGCCGATGTCCCTGAGCATCTCTTCGACCATGAACTTGGTGCGGCCGTACGGGTTGGTGCAGTTCCGTCCAGTCGGGTGGTTCTCGTCGACAGGAAGGTACTCCGGCGTCCCGTACACCGTGCTTGAGCTTGAGAAGATGAGTCGCCTCACACCATGCTTCTTCATCGCCTACGCGGTCGGGGGGAAAACAAATGGTACTAATTTGAAAGAAATTACATCAACCTGGTTGGGGGAAACAATGATCTATAACTATAGGGTCTGTATCCTCAAAATCAAATTCCCCCCCCCCCCCCCAAAAAAAAAAAAAAGAAACAGTCGCCGATAAAAATATTGATTAGGATTTATCTAAAATATTCAGAATTTGAGGACTGGTATTGTAAACACGCGACTTTTTTATATTTTATTGGAATCCTAAAACAACTATAAAGATACAGTTTTTTTTTTTAATTTCCACTTTGTTGGTAAGTATAAAAAAAAAGGATAGAGGTACACATAAGCACTTCTTATGAGTTGTGAATGCGAAAGCATGTACATCATTCTTGCTCTACGCGTGTTGGTGCGCTGACTAGCGCTGACCTGGCGCGGTGTGTCAGGCGAATGGGAGCCTGGTCGACGCGCGCTAGCCAATGGGATCGAAGCGCTGTAAAAGGTGCCGTGGCTAACCGGCGAATGGGAGCTGGCTTGACTTGAAGAAGGATTTAAGAGCCGTTTGGGCGTGGTTTGAAAGCTGATGACGTCGGCTCGCTCCATGAGACAGTTCATACTTTCGCATTCAAAAGTATTTTGAACCCTAACCACAACAAAAGGGGTGGGGAGGGGGAGGGGGGTGGAGCTTCCCGAGGACAGTAGTCGAACACCTCTGGTCTTTTAGTCATTCAACTTCGGGCCTTCCTCTTGAACAAGGCTTAGCTCTTATTAAAAAAATTGGCTTTAACAAAATTGTTGACTGCTATCTCTACCCGAAGGACACTAGAAATACGAATAATTCAGATTTTTTGAATAAGGAACGAAAGCTCCGAAAAACTTATAATTTCAAGTGAAAACAAAAACAGTCCAGAAGAACATTTATAATTAAAACAAAAATAAAATTAAGAACATATAAGAAAAACGCAAGAAACGGACAAGCACAGACACCAGTTTAAAGCACAGCAACCTGTGTTTTGAGACGGTGCATGTGTTTACGAACAGAACCCTCCGATTCTGCTCAAAAATAAACTCCGAAAACGAAGAACCCTTACAAGTATAACTATAAGAACAGCTTACGTCAACAAGTATGATGGTACCACCGATGTTGTTGCGGTAGTACTCCAGAGGCACCTTCCACGATTCTCCGACGGACTTGTAACCGGCCGCGTGAATGACGCAGTCGAACCGGTGCTGTTGGGAAACGAACGCGTGTGCTATATGCATATACAAACCTTATAATGTTTTTTTTTCCAGATAACCGAAACCTCAGTAGGCGGACTGCTAAGATGCCTAAAAAGAAATTTAGAAAATGCTTCAAGTTGGTGCTTATGCATCTGTGTGCTTGGACCTAGTTTAGAGCGCTCGTTTTGACAAAAACCCGGCGGTGTCTGTCAGTTTGTCAGAGCCGGGGAGAGAGCCAGAAGAAGAGAGGTGGAGGTGACGAGAGCGACGCTCCTATTGGCTCGAAGCGCTGACATCACACGCGTCTCCCTCTCTTCCCGCGGCGTTGACAAACTGACAGACACCACCGAGTTTTCGTCGAAACGCCCGTTTTCGTGAAAGGAGCGTCGCATAGCTGGCTCGGGGCCAGAGAGGAGGATCCGCAGCGACGCGGTGGAATTCGGGCATGCTCAGTTGCGCCGCCCCCTCTGCCGTCTCTGGGTATGTACTTCGCTCTCGGTCTCCGTAGTAGAGCGCATGGGCTGTGATGCGTGCGTGTGTGTGTCGTTAAAACGAAGAATGCGGTTCTCTGTACGAGTGACATGGATGCGGTGATAAACGAATAGAATCGAGTCATACACAAATGGAAAAGGGGGAAAAGGAGGTGAGGAAGAACTATAATGCTAGCGCATGTCCATCCAATGAATCCCATTGACCGCCGACTAATTTTTTTTATGACCAACGCTACAGGACCATCATACAAAAAAGAAAAAAAAACACGTGATATACTGTGTCTGCAGTTAGCAGTGGCACCGCGTCTTGCCGATCATCCCGCTGTGGATCAGCACTCGAGGAGCGACAAAACAATGTCGCGTTCCTGTGACGTTGTCAGTTGGTGAAAACACATCGGCCGATGCGGTAATCTTGCACCCAGAATGTAGGAGTGAGTTTCCAATACAGACAGCCATTTACAACTCGGTAGCTTCACCTTGTGGTTGTGGGTACACCTACGGGACAAAACACGAAGACGTTTTTTTGAGCTACCAGAACTCGTTTTCATCTCAAGAAGCGTAGTAAAAAGAAGTCCGGCTCGTCGCGGAGCATTTCTAGATCTTTCTGTTTTTATGTGGAGAATTAAGGTATATCTAGGTGTATTGTATATTAGATAGATGTCATCTTATCAATATGTACACGCTTCAAACGCCAGAAAGCATAGCTTCTTCCTCTGACAACCAAATCTTGTAAGAACTACTTCGAACTGCATATGAAAAATGCGACCAGTGGCCATTGGCCAATGGCCAGAGAAAGGCCAGTCATCTGCCAATGGCTGGGCACTGTCTGGCCGTTGGCCAAAGGATCATTGCCAGCCATTGGCCAATGATTGGCCAATTACCTGTGCTGCTTGGGCTTCTTGAGCTGTAACTTTTTCACTCGCATCTCAATAATTATTTTTAAATAAAAAAATAAAAATTGAGAAAATGGCAAATGGAGGTGACGCCAAAACCAACTTTCAAATTTTCGTCTCGCTTTCAGGCGAGGTAACGTCACGTGTTGCAAAACTTGCAGGTCGACCAGGTGCATTTAAATAAAACATAGTACGTCGCACATTGTTTTTCGCTCGTTCTGCTGGAGTGAATTTTTGAACACGAACTCAGCTCTGTTACGTCACGGCGCGGTGGTGGCGCGTCGGGCGCACTTCCGGTCTGGGGCTGTGGGCGGAAGTCACCATGCGAGACGTGCATTCCGGCGTTGTTTTTGTAGAAATTTGCAAAAAGCAACCTGCCTTCTCGTCAAAACGCCGTGACTAGGACTCTGCGCGAAGAGTCGGGAAAGGTTTGAAGGTCAGTTTTCATGTGTTTTCTGCCTGCTCGGTTCGTCCGAGAACGTGAGCATGGGCCATGAAAAAGGTAAACCAGAGGCCGTCGGACCACGATTGCTTGTGCGGGAAGCACTTTGGGTTGAATGCACGGATACTTGTGCTCGTCAGATTTATTTGTTTTGTTCCAGCACGAACGCGGGAAAACCGTAAAGTTGTACGGACCACCTGCGAACTACGTTCAGTGCGTCTTCAAGTTGGAACGGCCGCCTGATCGTTCGAACTGTCGTCTGCTCTCAAACGTTTCTGCATTTTGTCGTCTGCTTGTTCAAACGACAGCGGCCCATAGATCAAAGGTCCAGTCATTGCGATAAGAAGTAAGTGCAGGACTCAAAAAAACTTTTCAGTTTGAAGGTTTGTTGGAATAAATAGACTCGGTGTAAACAGTAGATACAAGCATATGTTGATAATTGTTACCTGGCCATCTTTGAGTTGTTATGCCTGATTCACTTGGTCCGATTCTGCTTGCGAATTTCAGTATCGACGTCGACCATCTCAGCTACGGTTCACGCTTTCGCTGCCCGAGCGTCGTCATGACTGAAAATAGCGAGCAGAATCTAATCATGCGAGTCAGGCTTTGACGTCCATTCTGCGGTGTCCACGCGGAATGAATCGCCGCATGTCACATTATTCACGTGAAGTTTTGCGGTGCAACGAGCCTCGTCAATATCACTGAAGCCACTACAGTAGTCAGACATTACCAGGAAGACGTAGAATAAACCATTCCAACGCGAAAAAGAGCACGGGGACTCACACCTACGCCGACAACAACGCATTCCAATGGTTTGTGTATGGGCGCCGCGAGCTTTTTGCCCACACCTCATTGCGCATGCGCGGCGCCGGTGGCGTCCGCTAGGGGCACTGCGGTTTGTTTGAAAGCATACAATAAAGTCGTTCACTCACTCACTCACAGTTAGTCTATATCATTCATTTCACACCAGCTAACATCACGTAATCCGTCGGGAACGGGTTGTACTGGCGTTTTGCTGCCCAAATGACAAAATTCGCCGTTGCGTTTTCAATGTTGCAATATATATATATATATATATATATATATATATATAAATATATATATATATATTCGAAACTTATATATATATATATATTCGAAACTTTAATATCTTAGCGGAAAGGAAAATATTTTCACCTATTATAAGTTGCCACCAAAATTTTGTCGGAGCTCCCCTTTTACTGCACATGCGGGAGATCTTTATCCTGCTAAAGCATTCGCTTTTATATATATATATATATATATATATATATATATATATATATATATATATATATATATATATATATATATATATATTCGAAACTTTAATATCTTAGCGGAAAGGAAAATATTTTCACCTATTATAAGTTGCCACCAAAATTTTGTCGGAGCTCCCCTTTTACTGCACATGCGGGAGATCTTTATCCTGCTAAAGCATTCGCTTTTATATATATATATATATATATAAATATATATATATATATATATTCGAAACTTTAATATCTTAGCGGAAAGGAAAATATTTTCACCTATTATAAGTTGCCACCAAAATTTTGTCGGAGCTCCCCTTTTACTGCACATGCGGGAGATCTTTATCCTGCTAAAGCATTCGCTTTTATATATATATATATATATATATATATATATATATATATATATATATATATATATATATATTCGAAACTTTAATATCTTAGCGGAAAGGAAAATATTTTCACCTATTATAAGTTGCCAACAAAATTTTGTCGGAGCTCCCCTTTTACTGCACATGCGGGAGATCTTTATCCTGCTAAAGCATTCGCTTTTATATATATATATATATATATATAATCGAAACTTTAATATCTTAGCGGAAAGGAAAATATTTTCACCTATTATAAGTTGCCACAAATATTTTGTCGGAGCTCCCCTTTTACTGCACATGCGGGAGATCTTTATCCTGCTAAAGCATTCGCTTTTATATATATATATATATATATATATATATTCGAAACTTTAATATCTTAGCGGAAAGGAAAATATTTTCACCTATTATAAGTTGCCACCAAAATTTTGTCGGAGCTCCCCTTTTACTGCACATGCGGGAGATCTTTATCCTGCTAAAGCATTCGCTTTTATATATATATATATATATATAAATATATATATATATATATATTCGAAACTTTAATATCTTAGCGGAAAGGAAAATATTTTCACCTATTATAAGTTGCCACCAAAATTTTGTCGGAGCTCCCCTTTTACTGCACATGCGGGAGATCTTTATCCTGCTAAAGCATTCGCTTTTATATATATATATATATATATATATATATATATATATATATATATATATATATATATATATTCGAAACTTTAATATCTTAGCGGAAAGGAAAATATTTTCACCTATTATAAGTTGCCAACAAAATTTTGTCGGAGCTCCCCTTTTACTGCACATGCGGGAGATCTTTATCCTGCTAAAGCATTCGCTTTTATATATATATATATATATATATATATATATATATATATATATATATATATATATATATATATATTCGAAACTTTAATATCTTAGCGGAAAGGAAAATATTTTCACCTATTATAAGTTGCCAACAAAATTTTGTTGGAGCTCCCCTTTTACTGCACATGCGGGAGATCTTTATCCTGCTAAAGCATTCGCTTTTATATATATATATATATATATATAATCGAAACTTTAATATCTTAGCGGAAAGGAAAATATTTTCACCTATTATAAGTTGCCACAAATATTTTGTCGGAGCTCCCCTTTTACTGCACATGCGGGAGATCTTTATCCTGCTAAAGCATTCGCTTTTATATATATATATAGATATATATATTCGAAACTTTAATATCTTAGCGGAAAGGAAAATATTTTCACCTATTATAAGTTGCCAACAAAATTTTGTCGGAGCTCCCCTTTTACTGCACATGCGGGAGATCTTTATCCTGCTAAAGCATTCGCTTTTATATATATATATATATATATATATATATATATATATATATATATATATATATATATATATATATATATATATATATATATATATATATATATATTCGAAACTTTAATATCTTAGCGGAAAGGAAAATATTTTCACCTATTATAAGTTGCCAACAAAATTTTGTCGGAGCTCCCCTTTTACTGCACAT